AGTTTATTCCATATTTGAATTCTTCCTTTCCTTTTCTAAAATCGTGGTTTCTTCTCAAGGTCGGAAATCCTGATTTGGAACTGCTGATGGTCAGCAAATTTTGTCTCGTTCAAGCTAGTGAGTCCATAGGAAGTCAGCTCAAGCCTGGGTTCGGATGCTTCCAACTCATCGAAACGGCGATTGATCTGCTGATTCTCTCTAATCCGGGCAGCTAGTATCTTCGGTGTTTCTTGTGCGTCGATTGTCTTTTTATATTTCGTCTCGCATTGTTTCAAATCTGGCAAGGCCTTCTATCATTATTGTACTTAAGCTTCAAGGAATTGTTGGAGGTCTTCTCTCTTATGTCGAAAACTGGATATATTGGTTTTGTTGACAGATGATAAGACGGTTTGGATGGTGTAATGGTAGAAGATGGTGAGCGCGAACAGTACTTCCGGTGTAGCGGCTGCTCTTGGTGGTTTCTAACAAACTAACAATTCACAATTCGATGTGTTGGCTTTTTTTTTTGACTCGGTGAATTGATTTGCCGTATTCATCTTTATCTTCATCTTCATCGGTATCGCCGCTTGACGAGTCTTTTATCGCCTCTCTTAGACTTCCGCTGGTTCTAAAACTTGAGCTTTGATAGAATGTACTAGGGATGGTGATAAGGACGCTGCTTCTTGGATTGTCTTAAAGATATATATGATCTGTATCATTGAGTGTAGTATTGAGTTATATAGGCGACGTAGTACAATGGCCCAGGCTACCGCTTAGTTCTACTATTATTAAAATCGAAAGTTTGCCCCCTTCTTAAGCGACATCGGCTATTTTTCCATTTGAGCTAACTTTCTCCACATAAATCAATTTCCTAACCTACTTGGATCTATTCACTACTGTTCACTTTCAAACCTTAGAATTTCTTAGACGTTACAATCAAGTTTTATCTGATGGAAAGTGATAAATCTACTAAACAAGTCGCACTCAGTAGAGAATTTACTCTTTGTAATTAGTAACGAATTGGAGTTCGATCTTACTCTTAGTCTATTCGTCGCAGAAAGCATCCTAAATACATTAGGCGTATTAGGTAATCATCTTGATTAATATATTCAACTCGATTGTATATAGTTTTTAATAGAATATATATTATATATAATATTATTAATCTGTTGTTTCTTGATATATTTTTCAGTGATTTATATAGGGATTCAAGATAAGTTTAATGTTTTATTTTCTTTTTTTGTAGATAAGTAATTGAATGAATAATATTTAGAAACGCTTTTTATCTTTAAGTTTGTTATATAGTAGTGTTTGTATTATAATTAATATATTGGCATTAAAAGAGTTTTCAAAAAATTGAAAATATTATATAATCTTATTAATTCTAATAATTATAATATAATTGTAGAAATCTAGTGTTTAAATCATCTTTCTAATTTTTCTTTTTTGAAATACTCAATATATTTATTTCTATAATACTTCTTATGAGAATTCAATATTATTTCATTTTTAAAATACAAACTCCTTTTGATCTTTAATACATTTAAAGTTTAATATTCTTTTCTTCGAAAATCTATTATATAGATTTTTAATTTCATTTTAGATTGTATTAATATTATCTTTTTCAAATAAGTTTGAATTAATCTTCGATTTTTTCAGTATTATTCTTATTTTAATTTTTTTAATTTTTTCTATTTATTTTCTATTTATTGAAAATTATATAAAATATTCTTGAAAATCTAATTATCTTATTTATTAAATTATACTTCCAATTATTTATTGTCAAATTCAAGAAATATTATTGAAATATTATTTACTGAATCTTTTTATAGTATTGAAGAACCTTATTTTTGAAATAATTCATATTAAATAAATCAAAATTAAAATAATAATATTTATAGGGAAAAAGAATATAATTAAGTTATAGATTTAAAAAGTTAAATAAGTTATTTATTTATTTAGTAATAATGATATTTACAAGCCTTATACTTTTTTTAATCTTATTTTATTCAAGTTTATAGGAAAAGCTAGTGAATAGTTTAATAAAAATAAAGAGTTTTTTAAGATTATAAATAACGAGCTTTTTCTCGGCTCTTTGTAACTCAAAATAATAATAACTTAGCTAATACTTTTTATATTTATTTTTTATAATACTACAAACCTATACCTATATTTATATTATACAGCTTTTAAAATTCTAAAAATAAATAAGATTTGTATTCCTATATTTTATCAAAATATGAATTTTGAAACTTTTAAAGCTATTTTGAGATTATAAGCTTTTTAAAGTAATAATCTATATACAGACTTCAATAGAGTATATATAATTCTAAACTTTAGAAAATAATAATAATAAATCTACTAAATCTACTAAATCTACTAATCTACTAAATCTACTAAATCTACTAAATCTACTAAATCTACTAAATCTACTAAATCTACTAAATCTACTAAATCTACTAAATCTACTAAATCTACTAAATCTACTAAATCTACTAAATCTACTAAATCTACTAAATCTACTAAATCTACTAAATCTACTAAATCTACTAAATCAACTAAATCTACTAAATCTACTAAATCTACTAAATCTACTAAATCTACTAAATCTACTAAATCAACTAAATCTACTAAATCTACTAAATCTAATCCCCCTCCCTCTCCTCCTCCTTTTTTTAATCCCCTTTCCCTTTCTCCTTCTCTTTTTAATCCCCTTATCTTTCTAATCCCTTTTCTTTTTATTTTTTTTACAAATTCCAAATTTTAAATCAATCAAAAACATTTATTTAAATCTTTAATCTTTTCAATCTATTTTTTAATCAATTATTTTTGTATTAATTATGATTTATTAATATAAAATTCATATTATTAAAAAACTTTCAATTTATAAAATCCTAGAATTCCTTCCAATCTTATTTCATAAATTCTTTATTTTTGATTCATCAATTTTTAAATTCAAATATTTTGATATTTGTGTATAGAGCATTTATACTTTTTTTTTACCAATCAGTTTCCAGTTATGAATTGTATTTTGAATCCTGTATACTAGGGATAGGAAACCTGTAAATGTATGGAAATTTTTAAGCCTAATACGTGTTTCTTTAGTATTAATGTTGAAAGTGCAGAAATTAGTAACAGTATAAGAACATATGAATTTCTCTTAGTATTAGATTTGTATATCAGAAACTTCACATCTTCAGCATACCTCGCTCTCTCTGCTTTCGTTAGATCTCTCCAAGTGTGTCCCATTATCGCATCTTTGACATCTCTGATTTTGACACTACACTTAACTAATGTAGTGATCAAACTTGAATATCAAATGATATCTTTCAGGCCCCCTACAATAAATTGAAGATATAAGTCGATGGTTATATGCCTTAATATAACACGCCGCTCAATATTTACTATATAGTCCGTAACCCTTAATCCATTCCCCCCCATACCATTCTGTCTCCGCCTTCCAATTATGTATCGCACTTTCACCCATCACAACTTTCTCCCCATTTCCTTCTTCATGTTTCTAGTCACCATTTTATTAGATCTAATATTGTATTCGGTAAATACTATATTAGATCTAATATATTAATCTAATCTCAAAAAAAATGATCTGAACAAGCCCTTAGTCTACTTCCCCGGCTTTCAAGTTCTTAGCTCGATTTTTGAAATAACTATTAAAATTATAGTGAATATAAGTACGTTTAGTGTAAACCTCGAGCCCTTGCTTAAAAATGTGTTAGTTCAGATCCCTTTAGATTATCTCTATAACTCAAAAATGAAGTACTGATATCAAGTAACCGATAGGGTATAAATAAACTGTCTTATTCAATAACAATTACTAATCAAACTAATTGAGTCAATACAGAAGTATATTAGAGTTGAAAATTGTCCTCCAATAGCTACTATTTGATTTTTGTCTTTTATATTATTATATGTATTTCTTTGATATCAATATATAAGGAATAGAAATAATTAATAGTATAAAATTCTATATCTGAATTTCTATTAGTATTAAATCTTTATATTAGAAACTTTACATCTTTAATATACCTCGCCCCCTCTACTTTTATTAAATCTTTTAAAGTATATCCTATTATTACATTTTTAACATCTCTGATCTTAATACTATACTTAACTAATATAATAATCAATTTTGAATACTCGACATCTTTCAGGCCCTCTATTATGAATTGAATATATGGGTTAATAATTATATATATTGATAAAATACGCTGCTTAATATAAACTATATAGTTTATAATCTTTAATCTGCTTCTCTATTATACCTCTCTCCTCTCTATAGTTATAAAGTTAATATTCCGAATAAAAAGAAATTGAATTTAAATCTCCATATAAATTTCTATTATATATCATAATATTAATATTCTATTTGTTATTTACAATATACTTATTTTATTAGTAATAAATAAAATCAATACTTTTTATAACTCTTTTCTTATTGAATTTTGATAGAAAAATAGAAAATAAAATCTTTATAGAATCTTAAAATTTTAAGATCTTTGAATATTAGAGTTATAGAATAGATAAATAAAAGAAAATATATATTAAAGTTAGAAGAAAAAGAAAAGTAAGAATAGAACCTAGGAAAAGAAAAGAAATAGACATAAAAATTAAAGAATAGAGAGAAAATATTAGCTGAAAATAATTATCTTAAACTAAAACTTAAAAGTTTTCTATTATATAGAAAAGACGTATATCGTAGGTAAGGTTTTAGTATTAAGTATAGTGCGTATTATGTTGAAAGCTATATACAATTCAGTTGACTATATCAATGAAGATGATTACGTAATACACCTAATGCGTTTAGCCTGCTTTCTTATATATATAGATAAGATTAATTATATTAATATTTTATAATCTATTTTTTTAATATAATATTGAGGATTAATATTTTTATTATAGTTAACGAAGTAACGATTTTGTTAATTACGAATTCTACTACTACAGGGTAACTGGTAGAGGTAAAAGGAGTATATAGATATCAACGAGGAGATCAGAGATGACTAGACCGTACTCGCTGGTAAAATCAATAGTACAGTACTTAAGCTGTTCAGTAGTGGACCCCCAGTTTACTCAGATTGTTGTACTGTAATCGAATATTATAACTAATATAAAGGCAACTGTTCAAAGGAATATTATAGTAGCGGAGATTTTAGAGCCACGGTTGAATGCATCGTTTTTGCTAACGACAAAAATTCGGCGATAAAATGCAATAATGCTCAACTTGATGGAACCATATGCTAACATCATGAATATCTGGAAGGGAAATTCGAGCTAGGGAGCTCTAAGAAAGTTAGTCACAGCCAAGAACTGCCAAGTATGTTTGTTTTGACATCGTTGCGGATTTGTAGAGAAGAGAGATGCTAGATCGATATACCTCCCTTCTGGTCAAAAGTAGTTAAGGGATCGGTGTATAGTTCTTCTTTTTCTGGGGAGAGACCTGATGGTGTTGCCGGAGTTGGCGAACCAAAGGCTCCATTATGGGCCCCTAAAATGTGAATGAGTATAAAATGATGTTATGTATGGTGATATTAAATGTCTATTTATTATCAATCAAGCAAATTCCTATTCCGATCAGTTATATCTTTAGCTGATATCAGTTTCCGTCTTTAATAGAGTGATTAAAGTTCTTTGACTCACGAGACCGCTCAATATTAGCCAATCATCGATACCCCTCTTACTATACTCAAGATTTTGAGTAATAAAACGCAAGCCGACAATAAAAATACCGACGATTGAAAGGGTGATCCTAAGAGCAATAACCTCTTGTTCATTCATATACTTGAACGTGAACATATAGGAAGGTGTATCAGACGATATTTTGTAGAAGATGTGCTAGCAAGCCAGGCGAAAAGGAAAGCTCCGGGAGTCAACCTCTCAAACTTTTGTGTGAGTGGAGAAGTGGAGAGAATACAAGAGAAAGACAGCCTTGGAAAGAACGAAGTCAAATGAAGAGATAAAAATTCTTGTCATAAAAAGGGGGGTGTTGAAATAATAGCCTATCGAGTAGGATGGCGAGCTGGTTGCTGCGCCGTCTGCTGCGCCGTCTGCTGCGCCGTTTGAAGACATTTTCTTTAGCACATAGAACATACAATAGATTGAACAGCGCCGTTTCAATAAACAATATTCAGCATATCATCTTCCAAAAGGGAATAGAGATAGACTTCAATGTGCCCCACTTGTAGTACATTGATAAACCTTGAAATCGACTGAAGAGTTTTTAATAAATAATTTTGTTAGTGACAAAGGCTTATTGGTATACAGTGTACAAGCATTTAAAATTAGCGGACTGAAATGATGTCATGGCAGCAGTTGAGAGGCAGAGTGCTTTCGACCTACCGTTTTTGGCATTTCTTGTATCAATACCCGCCGCAGATGCACAGATATATTGGTATTCAGCTGCATGAAATACGACATTCTTATCAATTTATAATATCCGCATAACGATTTACGAGTTTTAAAAAGAGAATTTGCAGTATATAACAAGGATTCTCGTCGTCCCAAAACCTATCTTCAGATTGCAATTCGATCTTTATTGTTCTATTTAAGAGCATGTAACTGTTGATGTACTACTCGATCAATAAACTTGTCGTATCCAAGATGCCACTTCCTGAACACCCTCTAACAGTTCGTGGTGGTTGCAACTGCCGAGCTGTTCGCTACAAAATCCAAATTCCATCTCTCGGTGACAGACCTTTCCACCCCTACTCGGACAAGATCAAATCAGGAGAAAATGTCCATTTACCCATGATTGCCATCGACCATTGCAACGACTGTCGCCGTGCCACGGGTGCCGTACTCCCGCTTTGGCTTTGCTCACCAATCAATTACATTACATCCTCACTCCTTCGTCGATCTGCGGCGTCTCAGTCCCCAACAACCACCAGTGGTTGCACGGACTCACGGGACAACGTGACAGGAAAGCACAATTTCATACCAAAAAGAGCTATTTTAATAATTCAATTAAAATTCAATATATCATTGAATTCTTTCAAAATTGAGATATATAATTCTTTAAGCATCAAATAATCTTTCTTTTGAAAGTGATTTGAATGAAATGCAATTTGAGCTCAAAATACAAATAGTACGCTTTCCCACCAAAAAATTTGGTGGGGAATTATATATTCTATTATCAAGACTTCAATCTTGATTCTTTTGATTCCAATTTTTTTCTATATAAAATCTTCATGCTTAAAAACTCTTTATCTGAATTTCAAATAAATTCAATTTTAATTTTAATTTTGATTGAATTATTAAAATCGCTCTTTTTGGTGTGAAATTGTGTTTTCCCTCTTGAGTGTCCCGTGAGTCCGTGCACCCACTGGTGAACTAAGGCTGATGGCGATAGCGACGAGGAGCATCGTAGAGGACCTTGGCTATCTGCCGAAGAAATATTTCGACCAGGATTATCAGGTGATGATTCGTTCTTGACAGCTTTCGTATCCTCCGACGCTCGCACGAGATACTTTTGTGGTCGTTGTGGGACAAATATCGGATATCGTATTAGTCCTATGCCGGAGGGGTGGCCCGAAATGCTCGATGTGATGATGGGAACTATCGATAAGAAAGATCTAGATTCGGATGCTATGATTCCTGAGAGGGCGGTTTGGGTGGATCACAGTATTGGCTGGGTGAAGAAATTGGCAAGAGAGGGTCTGGGGAACATCCCACAACACCCGCTCACTAATGTAAGTATACAGGCGCAGGAATAATGGATCTGCATCGACTATAGTTTCCAAATCAGGATCACCGAGCTTTATTATCTGGAATATTAAACTAATAAAATACAATCATTCATATTCACAAAATGAGCCTACCTTTTTATTAAACTCGATCTAAGATTACAAGTTGAATTTTCTATTAAATCTCAAAATAGTGATTTAATTAATTATCTAATTTTATCAAAATCTAATAAAGTTATAGATAATTTATTTATTCTTTTTATGGAGAACTAGCTTTATTCTATAGTTCTGAGAATATATAAGTTTCATATATATTTTAATTAGATTCTAGAATTGTATTGGTTAATATTTTAATAGGATTATTTAGTAACAGTAATAATTCAGATAATAATAATTGGGGTAATAATTGAAATAATAATAGTAGTAGAGGTAATAAAAATAGTAATAAAAATAATAGAAATAGAAATTATTCTAATTATTCTAATTATATAAATAATAATTAATATAATCGGAATTATTATCTTATTAATTTTTTAAAGATTTATAAAAATAATAATAGATATAAGAATATTAATAATTTTTTGAATTAAAAATCTCTATATTTAGAAAATATCATTTTAGAGTATTTATATTGTTTGAAATAATTATAATTTTTTTTAATTATATTTTGAAATATGATGAAAGATTCTTATTAAATAAATTTTAGTAATCTTTAAGATTTATATAAAGATTTATATAAAATAATAATTAACAATTTCAAAAAACGTAAATATTAATAGAATATACTTTTCAAATAGAATAATACTAATTTTAAGATTTATATCAAAAAGAATATAATTATAATTCTTAAAGAACATTTAATGTAATAATTATAAATTTATACTTTTTTGTATATTATATCTATAATTATACTATATTAAGATCTTTATTTATATGTAATAATATATTAAAATTTGATTTTGCAATATACAATCTTTATTCAATTACTTCAAAATTTATTAATTAAATTAAATAAATTATTAATTTTTATTAAAAGGTATTTTCAAAACTAAATATCTCAATTAAAATTTTCCTTATAAATCAATATTTTGATAATAATAAATCTTTATATTCCTTTTTTTAGAAATCTTTTCATAATAAATATATCAATAAATAATTTTTTTTTATATTATCCAATAAAAACAAAAATAATACATGTTTTTCTATTTTTTTAAAAAAAGGGCTAGAAATATTATAAATATATATAAAAGGAAAACATTTGATTTGAAACAAATTATTATATTAAATATAATAATTTTAATAATAAGAGCTTTATAAAATAATATAATTAATTTATTATTAATATTAAATAAAAGGACAATCAATATAATAATAGTGATAATAGTGATTATTTTATTAATATAAATAATTCTAAAAAGATTTTTAGGATGTTTTTTATATTAATAAATGCTTATAATAATTATTTAATATCAATCGATTTTAATAATATTATAAATACTTATAAATTAATAATTGAAATATTTATTATGAATAATAAGTGATATAGTATTGATAAGTTTTTTAGTATTATGATTAATATAAATATAATTAAAAGATTATTTATCAAATTTAATCAAAATTTAATATAATTGTTTCTTAAGAATATTAAGTATAACAAGATCACTATTAAACAAATGATAATTTAATAAAATATTACAGTAATAACTTTAATTAGATTATTTTACATCGAATTTCTATTTAGAAAAATAAAATAAAATACAATAGAAATCAATCTTTGATTTTTACTTTTTTTTAAAGAATATCAATAAGTTCAGATTTAAATATAATAATCTTGAGAATATTATTGTTATATTTAAAGATAATTATTTTTTATGTTAATAATTTAACTATACATTTGTATTACAAAGATATTAGATATTTTTATTTTAAAGATTTTGATAGGTATATTAATTATAATAAATTTATTATTAAATCAATCATCTATTCATTTGTAAATTTCATAAAGTATTTAAATACTCTAAATATAATAAGCATTTTGAAATAATCCAACAACTTATAAAATTTTATTATTATTATTAAATTTATAACAAATTACCCGATGAATTCAAATTCTTTTATTTAATAAGGATTCTGAATTGAATTGTATAATATTAATTAATATTTTTTATTTTAATAATAATCCTATTTTATATATTATTAATAAAACTATATACTTTTAAACTATTTGATAGCTAAGTAATATATTCATAAAATATATATAGAATAAACTTCATAAATACTAAATTAATTATATATTAATTAATCAGAATATGTTACTTATAATACTATTATTAATTTTATCAAAAAGGAGTTTTAATAATATACTATATCAATATTTATTCAAACAAAAACAATTTTTACAGAGATGTATTATTTGATTGGAATTGTTAAAGGGTTTCATATATCATTATATAGATCTTACAAAATCATTTATGATGAAATTTAAAAATTAAAAATTAACAAAACAATTATACTGTAAATAATTATAAAAGTAATTAATAATATTACCAAATCTAATAATTTAATACTCACTTTACTTGTTTTTAATATATTTTTCTATATAATTAATATTAGCTTTTCAGAACTTATCATTTAATAATACATAATTATAATTTCTAAAATTATACTAAAATTATACTATAACTATATAATTCTGTATAAATATAAGAAGTTGTTAATATATACAATAACCCCTTTACAACTATACTTTATAATTTATTATTAAATAATATTATTTTGATTTAAAAAAAAGCAATATAATAGCTTTCAATAAATGAAAAGGATTATTTTTATTTTTCAATATAAATAAGAAAATATATGTTTTTAATTTATTTTATAGATCTATAAGATTTAAACTGATATTAATAAAATTTTATTATAAATATTTAGAAATTAAATATATTAAGGAGATTAAAGAAATTAATTATACTATTAATCCTAAGATAACTTTATTAAATTCTAATAAAATTATGTTACTTTCTTAAAAAATAATAATCACATTTATAATATATTTAAAGAAATCTTTTTTAGATTTATTCTAAAACAAACAATTATCTATATTAATGTTTTTCTTATGAATAATTATATTTTAAATTCAAGTTTATATATGAAATTATTATCCTGATTATTTTATTATTAATCTCAAAAATCCAATTATATATAAGAAATCCAGAAAAAAGAAAATTGATAAATCAATAACTAAGAATATATTCGAGATTATATTACTTTGGAATATTTCTTTTAAATTATACATTTTTAAATGACAATTTATTTATAAAATCAAGAGTAAAAAAAACACTAAATCTTATAAATCAAAACTAATTATTCAAGTATATAATAGTATTAATAAAATGTTTATTTTGAGATATTTCAATCTCACTAATTATAAATACTCAAAAAATAGACAATTATATATATATTCAAAATGTTATTTGAATGCATATTCAATCTATTTCGAATTTATATTATGCTTTTTATTTCTATATTCTAAAAAAGAAATTTATTAATCAATATGATTTTATTTATTATTAAATTATTATATAATATTCTTAAGGTAGAAAATTATTGATTTTGAATACATTCTATTTATTATTATAAGAAGTTTCAGATGTAATAATTTAAATATAATCTTTGTTTTTTATATATTAATAATAAGAAAACTAAATTTTATATTATAAAATTTCAAATAAATAATATATTTATTATTAGAAATGATATATTTATATAAATTGAGGATGATTAATTCAAATAAATTAGTTTTATAATTAAGGATTATAGGAAATTTATTTATAATTATTTATTAAAGTTTAATAATATTATTTTTATACTAAAAAGTAATAATATTTATTTTATTAAATAGAAGTAATATGATAAGCTATAATTTATATTTATAGAATCTATGAATATATATAGTATGTATAATAAGATTTGAAAGTATATTTTTATATATGAATAATATATTATATAATAAGCTTATAGAGTATACATATTATAATTATATATTAATTTAAAGTATTTTTTAATTTATTAATAATAATTTAAATGATTTAATTTAATAAGAATAATTATTACGGGGCAGGCAGGCGGGATTAGGAATCTATATTCGATAATACTCAGAACAGTAGGTATAAAATATAGACTAAGATGTAGTTCAAAGAGCTATGATATAGAATCTTTTAATATAAAAATATATAAAGTTTTTATTTGTAAATTAGTTTAATAGGGCTTAATTGATTATTTATTGATTATATGTATTTATATTATAATATTATCCTTTTCCTTTAGATTGAGTTTTGATGAAGTGGTAAGTTGTAGTTTATAATCTTATAAATAGATGGTTTGGATTAGGTAGGTTTAGATTTATTAGGATATTTATAGTGAAAATTATAAATCAGTTTCTATATATTTTCTAAGTAGTTAATAGGTTTTTTAATTGGTTTATTGTAATTAATTTAGTAAATAGTATATTTCAAACAAGATTCTTTATAATCTTTTTTTTTTAGTAGAAGTTTAGGATTTTGGTAATTTCGAAATACTCTAAATTATTGATTTTTATGGGTGATGATGGTGGGTTATATTATTTAGGGATAAAATCATTATATATAGGGTATAACAAATTAATATAAAAAATAGAATAAATCCTTATAAAAGCAGATAGTTCCAGTTTATAGGTATAGGGGTCTATCAGACTCAGGATCTTAAATAATCCAAAATTCTTTTAATTAAGCTTTTTTATAAATATAGGATTTTGATATTTCTAGTATTCAATTAGATTAGATTATTAGGGGTATATCGGTGAATAGAGAAATAATAAAAGTTAATATTCTTTAAATATTAGGCTTAACTAATAATTAATTTTGTTTTTAGATATAAGAAGATTGTTTTTATTTTGAAAATAAATTTTTTAGTATTCTTTATAATAAAGCGATTATTTTTGAATAAGAATAGCTTAAAGTTTAGGTAAAAATAAAATCTATAATTAAAAAAATGAA